GCACACAGTCCTCACTCCACCTCGTCTTCAGATGACCCCGAGTCCCTGACGGGCTCTAGGACATGCTTGTAGCCGTGGCGCGGCTCAGGGTCCTCCTCCTCCGAGGACTGGTCCTGCTCCCGTGTGGCCTGGAGGTGGCGCGTCAGTGCCGCCTTGTCCTGAAATAGCACTTCCCAGCCCTCTGCCGGGGCGGGGACCCGCTTGAGGTCCTGGAACCTGAAGCAGGGCCGGCCCCTCTTCCTGCCCAGCAAAAGGCCTAGGGCCCGTCGGATGGGGTGGACCACAGGCAACCTGGAGATGTGCCCACGGAGCTGTATCCGGCCCTCTCTGTTCGTGAGGTCTCCTGGCCGTGGCCATCAGGGAGGCGTGGATCGCCTGGTCCGCCCGCTGGAGTGTCGCCCGCGAGCGCTTGACAGACGAGTTGGTAGCCTGCTCGTACCGCGGGGAGGAGGTGATGATGACTTGATGGAACCTGTCGATCACTTCCGGCGGGAGGGGGTTGCGGCGGAGGGATGCCAAGAGTACTGCTGCACTGGCCTTGGCCACCCGATGGTACACCCCCGGCTGGCGAGACAGATGGTCCGTGATGATGGCCCCCAGATATTCAATCTTGGAGACCTGCTGAATAGCCACCACGGCCAAGTGCACGGGCCGAGGGAGAGGGCCAGGGTCCACATGGCCGGGCTCCCGATACAGGTACTCTGACTTGCAGGTTGAGCTCCACGGTGAGGACAGGAAGCCACCGCTGGAAGCCTGCCATAAAGTCCTCGATGTCCTGGAGGGAGTCCGACGCCACCAGAATGTTGTCGGCGTAGGCGCAGACCACTGGCACCATCCCCTCCTTCTGCAGGTCAAGGGAGAAGCGGGGGAGCCCCGCGATCGCCTGCACGATAGCCCAGTGCAGAACAATGATGAACAGGAAGGGGGAGACGGCGCACCCCTGGCGCACCCCGCGGCCGCGGAGCACCTGCACTGTGGATGCCCTGCCGAACCTGATGGAGGTCAGGTCCGTAAGGGCCAGCGAGATGACCCGGTTGACGAGGTACGCCGGGACCCCCTTCTCGGTGAGCACCCGCACCAACTGCTCCTTGCTGACCGACGGGAAGGCCTGTTTGATGTCAAGTGAGACAACGTGCATAGGCCGAGCGCCGAGCGGCCCACCAGTGCGCGTCCAGGATCGCCCGCAGCAGCACCAGGTGATCGTACGTAGAGCGGTTAGCCTGGAATCCCGCCTGGTAGTAGGGTACCGGAGGCAGGATAGCAAGGAGGAGGGAGTGCAGGTGCGAAGCCAGGAGCTTGTAAAGCGTAGTACAGAGGGAGATAGTGCGGAAGTCCTCCACCCGCTCCGGGCTTCTTGGGGATGGGGTGCTGCACCAACGACACCCATTCCACCGGGAAGTCGTTAGCCAGCCACGCCACACGATCCCCTCCAGCTGTTAGAAGAAAAGATCAGGTGCAAAGACAAACAGCTCCGCTGCAAGGCCATCCTGCCTCGGGGCCGTCCTCCGGGAGAGCCGGGCGCAGTACTGGCGAAGCTGCACCGCCGTCGGGGCCGTTCCCTCAGCGTCTTGCGGAGCAGCGGGGAGCGGGGGAGGGTGGGCCCCCTGGGCCAACTGCTGGACCGCTTCGTCCCATTCCCGGGCCCCCAGTTGGCCCGCCCGCGCACCAGCACCTAGCCGATCCTTCCTTAAGTATCGGTAAGCCACCGTGAGCCGACTGGCTGGCCGCACACCTTCCACTTCTGCAAAGAAACGATCACGCTCGGCCCGCTGATGGTTAGTATCTGCCGCCCGTCTGGCCCCACAGCCGCTTCCAGCAGTGCCTCCGCATGAGGATCTCCTGGCTCATCATGGGTCCGTTGCAGGGCCTGCCGGCGTGCCCGCTCCGCTGCCTGTCTCATGGGAGTGATGGGAGAAGCAGGCACCCTGAGCACCGCGTCTGCCGCCGTCACCATAGCGTTCTTCAGTTGAAGCCAGGTGACCTGCCGGGTGTGGGCCAGGAGGCCCTCCAGCGCCAGCTCCAGGGTTCGTCGAAAATTTTCCTGTAAGTTAGGGTCCTCGTTCAGCCACGCCGTTGCCCACGTCCGAGCCCGCTGCCGAGCCGCGTACCGCATTCTCTCAGGCTGAGGGGCGCCTGCAGGGCGGAACGGTGGCTGGTCCGCTGTGGGGAGCGTGAGGGTGCCAACAACAATTTTATGGTCCGAGTGCACCTGGGGGATGAAATGAGCATACACTCCTGAAATGTTAGGAATATTGGTTAGGATGTGGTCCAGCTGGGACTCCTCCGCCCGAGGTCCTGCAGCCTCCCCGCCTCTCCGCCACGTGACCTTGCAGCCCCTGGCCCAGTCAAAGGTGTTGATGAAGCGTAAGCGGTGAAGCCGAGCCAGGGTGAGCATGGCCTCACCAGCCTGGTTGGAGACGGGGTGGAGCAGGTGCCGCCCTTGGGCCAGGTCCTGGTCCTGGCGCTCGTCCACCCCCAAGTGGGCGCTGAGGTCCCCCAGGACAAGCTTGTCCGCGGCGATAGTCCGCAGCGTAGCCGGCTGACGGCGGTCGGTGGGCACATGAGAGAGAACGACTGTGAAGGTCACCCCATGCGCCTCCACCACCGATGACATGACATCTTGATGGAGCAGCGTGTACGACCTGAGACGCAGGTCGGGGACATCTCGGCGGACAAGTAGTGCCCCCCCCCCGTGGGTTCCGTTCCAACTTCCAGCTGTAGTGCTCGGTTTGGAGCTCCTGTTGTGCAATCCGGGTCTCCTGTGGGGCGGCAACATGAACACCCCGGGCAAAGAGAGCGGCGTCGACCACATCCAGCATCCCGTCCGCCGCAATGCCCCACACATTTCAGGTGGCTGTGACCAGACGCGGCCGACCCAGCCGGGCAGGGGCGAGGGGTCCTCCACTCTCTGTAAGTGGGTGTACAACGAGTTGCGTGAGTGGCTGCGAGTTCGAGTATTCGAGAGTATTAGCGAGTACCCGCGAGTTTATGCGAGTAATGGCGAGTATCCGCTAGTATAAAGCGAGTATTTCTCGATTTTTTAGCGAGTTTTCGCAAAATTTCCGCGAGTTGTCACGAGTATCTTGCGAGTATTTTTCCTCGTGTACAACGAGTTGGCGAGTGGGGGACCCCTCGGGCAGGGGGTGGGGAGGGCGGGCGCGGTTGGGTGTGCTGCGATATCTGCAGCTCCTGTGACGGGGGTGGTGGCGGAGAGAGGGGCAGCGGCGTTAGGCCCCGGCAGCCACGAGGGACCCCCGGCGCTTCGTGGACCTGCTGCTCATCGACGTGGTGCACCACCGGCGTCGCCATCAGCACCACCGAGAAACTGGCTGCGTCGCTCCGGGCCAGGGTCGTCCACCAGCAGTACCAGGGGCGCGATCCTGTAATTGGGTATGTAGGGTGCGGAATAACAATCTCCTTTGCCTCCGGCTCCAGCTGCAGCACCTCGATCGTCTGCGCCAGCAGATCCGCCAACTCTTGCATTAAAGGCCGATCACTCAGACTGGTGACGACGTGGGCAAGGCGCTGCTCCGTCACCGCACGTAGCAATTCTGTTCCACGGACTTGCGCCGCCGCGCGGTCCCGCGGGCAGATAGCTGCCGCCGCGGCCTCGTACAAGGAGTGCCCCGATACCCGCGTCCGCCAAATCTGAAGCTGAAGCTCGCCAAAGCGAACCTCCTCTCTGTCCAGAGCCGCCATCCTGCCGTTCGCACCTGTAACGTCCGTCCAGGGAATGACCACCACTGCGCCACCATTGACTCAAGCTGGCCCTAGCGCACCGCGCCGCACAGTGGACGGAAATCGAAAATCCAGGGACAAAACTAACTTTTCTAACTTGTTTAAAAACACCGATAAGTTAGTCAGACGAATAGATAACATACTAAAGGTCATATTTTTGATTTGGTTCACTTTGTAGAAGTATTTTCGTGCTCTACAGAAATATATAAAGTCAGCTCCTCAGCCTCCCGGCCGACAGCGGTGGCGGTCCGCACAGGTAGAGCATATTAAAATTTACTTTTTCTTAATGAAAATGGTCTTGACTAGACATCCCATAGTAAGAAATGGGAAAAGAAAGGTCCATTTTTGTAAAGAGAATCGCAGTTTTGCTGATTTGAATTAGCATTAATACGGAAAACAGTTTCCTGAGTCGGTAAAATACTACAGCAAACCCGTCGGTTTATAAGGGATATATAATGATCGCCGGCATTCGCCGGGCTGAACTCAGTTGAAATATGTTCTGTATTTTACTAGCGATGAATCCCTTTTTGATTTTTTCCCCGCAATGTTCCGCTTTACTTGCACAGTCACTTCAAACTTCCGAACGCCTCGGTCCCCGTTCGAGCTGCGGGGGCTGCGCGCGCTTGGAGGTTAGGTTACTCGCCCGGGGCGGCAGCCAAGGAGCTGCACTGCGGACAAGTTAATAGAGTAAAAGCTTTTTGGTTTGAGACTGTTTGATATGAGACTTGAGAGGCAATGGGTGAGTACGCTAAAAGTATTGTTTTAATTTAGACTCAATTCAAGCTAGAGACAAGCGACTGGTCGGCAAATGAAATAAAAACACAAATGAAAATAATATTGTGAGGTTATGTAAGTGCAAAGGGAAGGACGTTCACAATAATATGCTCTACGGGATTTCTGTGATATTTTCTAAAAGAAATGCGTCGATAGGGCCCCGCCTAAGGTATTTTGAAATTCTATAGCTTAAATTGCATGTAATTTTATAGCGCTATCGCGGTTTCATGCTGTTTTTCTTTGGTGTCTTTCCGAATCGCTTTGCTTTGAAGCTTTTTTGCCACACTACTTCTCTTTGCATGTGCATGTTGATTTATTTGCTTTTATTTGCATTTGCACCAGCTCCCTCATCATTCTCTATTACCCGGATTTCGCTGCTCGAGGTCCTTCGGGAGAAGGCTGGTCAGGGTAGGAAGGTACAGATCGACCACGCGCAAGAGTATGTACTGAGACAGTCTGAGAGGGTAGGAAAAGAAATAGACGAGGGAAGTCTCCGTGTGCAAGTCAGCAAAATTCTATCTAAAATGTTTGCGCGTTTAGACAAGAAAAGAAGCAACGGGGACTACACCAGGTATATTGAAATAGATAAAAACTGGCTCTCTGTAGAAGAAAAGTTGAGTACAGCAATCGCCCCCACCCCACACTCCCAGAAAAAGGGAAGACCAAAGAAGCCCTTCGATCAGTCTTGCAAAAAGACTAAACGCCGGAAGTTAACTGATGTTGTAAACAAGTATAGTTCAGAGGAATTACTAGAAGCCACTGCAATTAAATTGAGGTCTGAGGGGAAGGGGGGAGAGTCTCGTTTCCTGAGCAATCTAAATGAGGCAGTTCAAAGTCGTAAGTTACCCTCCCAGGGTGTCCAAACCCTTGCTGCGGACGTTACTCTAGGGGCCATGGTAGAGGCTGACTTATCTAAAAATGGGTACCTCGCCGTTCGCCAACTAGTCAACAGTCAAACTCCCAAAATGATGCCTTCTTATGATAAAATCCAAGAAGAAAAACAAAAATGCTACCCGTCTGATGACTTTTTCACAGTGACTGATTTTTCTGCTGAGGTCGACCTCCAGGCACTACTCGACCACACCAGCGGCAGGATTATTGCACTGCAGGATGAGGTGTTAGAGAAATTTCCACAGGAGCTCTGTCAAGTTGTCCTTGTAGTGAAGTGGGGTTTCGACGGGTCTAGTTCTCACGCTGAGTACAATAATCATGGTCCGGGTGACGGGACCGAAAGAAAAGACTGCATGTTTTTAACATCAATGGCACCCGTGCAGATGCGGCTCGAGAGCAATAAAAATACAGTCGTGTGGCAAAACCCTAGGCCAAGTTCCACCAGGTACTGCAGACCGATTCGCTTTCAGCAACGAGCTGAAACGAAGCAACTTCTCATCCAAGAGTCTGCATATATAGAAGGAAAGATTCGAGGTCTGGATTCCACTGACTTCCAATTAAAATCAGGGAAGTCCGTGACAGTGCGCTACGAAATGTGCCCTACCATGCTAGACGGGAAAGCTAGCAGCGCAGCGCAGAAATTTTCTGACCAGAGTTGCTCTTTGTGTGGGGCTCGTCCAGGGGAAATGAACAACCTTGGCGACCTAGAAAAAACCTTTCAGATTAAAAATCCTAATAACTTGAAGTATGGCATTCCCCCTCTTCATAGCCGAATTCGCTCTCTTGAATGCATGCTCTTCGTCTCCTACAGAATAGGCACAAATAGGAAATCTTACCAAAAATATACAGATGAACAGGCCAAGGCGGTAAGTTTAAGAGAGAAGGAGGTAAGACAGAAAGTTAAGGAAAATCTGAACATTACTGTCGACAAAGTTGTTCGTGGCTCCGGAACTTCAAACACCGGAAATACTGCTCGTAAATTTTTTGACGAGCCGAGGATTACTGCTGAAGCCACTGGGTTAGATGAAACTCTTCTCCACAGGCTCTCTGTGATCCTCGACACCCTTGCGAGTGGTTTGGACATAGATGTAGAGAAGTTTAAAACCTATGCCCATGAGACTGCACGTCTGTATGTGCAATTGTATCCCTGGAACTACGTGCCCTCAACTGTGCATAAAATGCTTATCCATGGTCACTCCGCCATCGAAGCTGCTCCTGTTCCCATAGGCATGCTATCAGAAGAAGGGTCTGAGGCCCTCAATAAGTACGTGCGGAATGCCAGAGAGTTCCACACCAGAAAGTTTTCATCAGAAGCCACAAACGAGGACCTTCTTAAAAGGCTTCTTGTGAGCTCAGATCCTGCCATATCTTCGCTTCGTCGGCTCCCCCAAAGAAACGTTCCTGGCAGCTTCCGCCCTGATGTTCAAAATTTGCTAAAGCCTGCTGCATGTTAACTGCTTGTGCATGGTTGCCTGCATACTTTCTGTTCAACTTTTTTTTTGTCTTGATGTATGCCAATACTTTTTTATTTTATGTTATTTTTGTCAATATTTTATTTTTGTTGCATCGTTTTTTTAGCCCGCCCTTCTGCTTTTAAAAAAGCATTAAAGCGGGCTTATGCAACCGCTCTCGTGTCCGTCTGTCTGTCCGTCGTCCGTGTAAGAGGAAGGAGATGAGATAGGGGTCTGCAAATTTCAGGGTATCTTAGGGGTCACTCCTGGACAACGAAACGCCTGGTGCAAATCCTGGCAACCACCCCTAAGGGGGTGAAAGGGGGTAACAAATAAATAGAGGTTGGTTCACAAAGTAGAAAATCAAATTTTTTTTATGGTCTCCTTAGGGGTTACTCGTGAAAGTAGATCCCTGTGGACTAAAATTTCGTCCGTTTGCCTCTATCTTGCACCGTTTGGGCGCTAGAGTGTTTTTTCGACGAAAATACGGTGAAAATGACCACGTTGCACATGAAGACGTACAAGGAGGCCTCCAATCGTAAAATGTCAGAGGAAGTACCCCCCCAAAACAGCACATTCTGAGTCTGATGGTCCCCTCCGATTTACCGCATCTTTAACCGTTTAGGAGCTAGAGGTAGATATTTTGAAAACAATTGCAAAAAGTCAAGTTTTAAGACTGTGTGGTAAACAATATACTATCTTCAATCTGCGCCTGTTTTATATTTTTAATTCTTAGGCAAAGCAGAAGGGTGGGGTGAAGTCACGGTGTTGCCCCGTTACAGTCTTTTTTCATGTCCAAGGAGCAAATTTCTAGGGCCGCAGGCCCCTACCGGACGCGTTAGTTTACTCAATTAATGCTAAGTGATTTACGGGTCACATTATTTATTTGATTATGCACTTTGGTAAATCGAGAGACTGAAATGGTCGGGCCGAAGGCCCGACCATCGCCGCCGGCAGGCCAAGCAGGCCCGGCCCCTGCCGAACGGAGTTGCCGGCGCAGCGAAGTGGAGATGGCAGCTCCGTTTGGCGGAAGGGCGGGCCTGCTTGTTTATTTTAGTGACATGTTTTTCTGGTAGAGTGCATGAAATTGTTTAAATAATTTGTGTGACATGCATCTAAGCGTATATGCATACTTTTTTTTTATTTTTGACGTGTTCTTTCTAGGCATGTGTATGAATTTTCAATATTTTATTTTTGTTACACGCTTCTAAACAATTAGATACCTTCTTTATTTAGTTTTTATCTTTTTGACTTGTTTTTCTGCAGATTATGTGTATAAAATTTTACACATTTTTGTGTTTGAGATATTTGTGTTTGCTAACACATGATTGCCTATCAATAAAGTGTTTCGAGACAAAAAACAACTGTTTTCCCTAAAACTGATTGAAATCATAACGATTTTTCGGTAGGGTACTCCTCTAACTATTAAGATAAAATAATTTTAGGGTGAAATGGATATGAAAAATGAGTTCAGTACCCTTCAAAACCCCCCTATACTAAATTTCACTGTCCTCCGATGAGCAAATGAATTTTGTCCCACTTTTTTCGATTTCCGTCCACTGTGCGCCGCCTACCTCCTGGCTCCGTAGATGGGCTGCACGAACCACAGCGAAGACTCATCCGGTAGAGGGGTATGGTACGGGGGTAGGCCGGTGGTGGTCACCCGTAACACAAACACACTTAGATAATCCAGCTGCAAGGATACCCGTGACACACAGGGCACGTGGGCTTCGCGATCTGACAACACTCGTACTGCCTGTTGAGTCCGGTCCCGTGTTGACAGTAGCAGTACCAGGTGTGCCGCCAGGGGGCGCCGCGCTAGAGGGTGGGTCCGAACCACCTAGTTCCGCTTCCTGCCACCGAGCGCTGGGGGCTATGCGGGGGGAGAGGGGAGGTGGAGCGGGGAGGGGGGCAGAGGCACGCACGAACACAGGCCCTGTCCTGACCTGCCCCATTCTACGTGGAACCATGAGCTGGCCTTGGCGAGTGGTTACCCCCGTGCTGCACTACAACCTCTCGAGTAAGTATCTCGTCCTTGCTCCGGACCCACTCACCCCAGACATCAGATCGGCCACTAATCTCTTGGTTCATGTAGATCCTGACGTGTCCGACTCCTTGTTGACGCTGGGTGGCCAGATGGAGGTCCTGGACCTGGAGACGGGCCAGTGGGAGCTGGTCCCCGACACTCCTTCCCCGAGGCCCTCTCGTGCCACCGCACCCCTACCTGTGCCTCCGGGCGGTGATGGGGAGGTGATCGACCTGGCCACCCCTCTTAGGGCCCCGGTCGCGTCGCCGTCATCGCCCGAGGTAGTCCTGGTGGATGTCATCCTGGCCCCCGCCGACCCGAGCCCCAACCCGGTGCCGCCGCTGACGCCGTCGAGGCCACCGTCGTCGCCGACCTAGGCGCTGGAGGCAGCACCGCCCATGCAGAGCCCCCGGGGGTGCTTTGGGCCTTTGAGCTGTAAGTACCACAACATGCCCCATACTACACCAGCTCGGGAGCAGAGTGATGAGTCTAACTTGTTCTTTGTCCCAGGGGTGTGGATCTCTTCGGACTCCGAGGCCAGCCCAGATTCTGCGCAGCCCCCGTCCAAGCGGTCCCGCCTCGCCGAACCAGAGTGCGCTGCCGCCGCCGCCAGCTCCGAGGACATCATCGAGGTCGTCTCGTCCTCCCCCGCCAGCCCCTGCTCCGCGGACGACTCCGCCGAGTATGAAGAGCGCCGACGGGAGGAAGAGGAGTACGACCAGATGATGGAGAATCAGCTGGGTCTCCATCAGGTGCTCCTGCAGGAGGCGTACGACGAGTACGAGCGCCAGGTTGAGTAGCAAATCCATGTGCAGGGGGAGGACGCGGAGGCCCTTCTCCAGCCCCAGGCTGAGGAGGAGGAGGTGGATGAGCTGGGCGAGGAGTATGAGTGGGAGGGGTACATAAACAGTTGATCTCTACCTTTTAGTGCTTATTGGTAAACCTGTTCCAAGAGAGGGAGAATTAGCAGTGGGACGCATAGAGGGAGAGAGCATACCGAGGCTGTAAGGAAAGAGTCCTCTGGAACGAAGCTAGAGAACATACAGAGCAGTGAGTGAGTCGGACGATTCCTGTGAGTTGGAGTAATAGAACAGACGGCACAAGGAGGCATAAGTCATGAGGTAATAAGGGCGTGCTACAGAGGGTGAGAGGGAGAACACTGGGTTCAAGCAATACCAGACCAGCAAGTGAGAGAAAGCTACAACAGCACATAATACAACTTCATAGAGACCAACCTGCGGAAAGAACCAATCTGATTAAAGAGGCTGGAACAGAGGGGAAACGGCACACAAAACAGTTAGACAGGGTAGTATTGATCGACAGTGGGCTAGAGAGAGAGAGTGAGCGGAAGATAAGAAAGCACAAACCAGGACACAGCATAGATCACACATCAAGCAAAGCAAAAGGCATTTGCTAGAATGGGAGAAGAGAGATAGTAAGCGGAAGGCAGTGAGGCACAAACACAAACCAGCACACAGTATGCATCACACACAGAGCCACGCAAAAGGCAATTGCTTAAATGAGAGAGGAGGGAAGAGGTGAGACAAGCAATCATAAAGCCTAGTCGACCCTCGCGTATGACATATTAGCAGGGCAATA